GGACCCACTAGATCCAGACATAGAAATAAAACGTAAAATAGCAACGACTAAAACTACTTTTATGAAAATGAAGTGATTTCTTTGCAATAATCATCTCAGTTTAGAACTAAGACAAAGAATGGTTAAGTGCTATATTTGGTCCGTACTTTTGTATAGTGCAGAAGTGTGGACGCTAAAAGTATCGATCATGTACAAAATTGAAGCATTGGAAATGTGGGTTCATAGATGAATGCTGATGATACCTTGGACAACAAGAAAAACTAATGAAGAAGTACTAAGGAGCGTCAACAAAGATAGAGAACTGCTAAAAACTGTTAAACATCGAAAAATGTCTTATCTGGGACATATCGTAAGGGGAAGTCGATATAAAATATAACAACTGATCCTTAAAGGAAAAATAGAGGGCCGTAGAGGTGTAGGAAGAAAACAAGGTTCTTGGTTAAAAAACATTCGTGAATGGACTAAGATATCAAATGCAAGGACAATTATTCCATATTAAAGAAGACCGAGAAGCCTTCGCAATGGTGATCGCCAACGTCGGATAATTCTGATATGGCACGCGAAGAAGAAGAAGAGAAATTATGTGGTAAAACAGTAAAGAAATCTAAATTGAATGTCACTGTATAATTAAATAGTTCCAAATTGCTTGAATTTAGAATTATATGATTTTTTTCTAATTAAGGTCGTTTTCACCCCTAAAAAATAAAAAGCAACCAATGGAACAAGTCCAATTTTGAAGTGGAGGGTAACTATTACCTAAATCCAATTTTTTATGCAAATCAGTGCAGACAAGGTACTCAATAACTTTGTTTTAATTGTAACTAATCTAGGCGTTGATATTTAGGGGTTAAACTGTGATAAAATCTCAGATTATATAATTATATATATATATATATATATATATATATATATATATATATATACCTATATATATATATATATATATATATATATATATATATATATATATATATATATATATATATAATTTTTATCAATATAACGAAAATAAAATAGATCTCATAATAATTTAAAATCACACTCCTTCAAATTTAATAAAACAGGCGGTACTACAAATATATTTATTTGATTGACCCACTCTACTGTATTAATATTTTAATTAGTTGCCTGTAAAGAAGGAGGTTTTCTTTTACTATTACTGTCTATAAATCTTCGGATTGGTTACCGTTATCAGTACAGCCAAAAAAAAATTATTTAGCACCAATAATCGTTATATGAGTCATTTGTAGGCATGATACATTGAGTAAAATTAGACAGTTTTTCTTGATCTTCAGATTTTCTATGATTCAAAAATAAATGGTTTTCAAAAACACTAAAAATTCTTCTTCATCATTTTTATAAGCAATTCTGTTTGTGCATTGGCGGATCATTACTTCTATGGAAGGATGTCACTCCATCTTTTGCGCGGTCATCCGATACTTCTTTTGCCGATTGGTGACTTGTCTTTTACTTTGCCGATTCTGCTTATGTGGTTATTCCATACTTTTTTCTATTCAGTGTCTATTCATTTATACACTGTACCTTACATTTTCTTTTAATGTCTTCACTTCTCTTTCGATCTCTCAGCGAATTTTCTGTAATTCTTCTCAGTACTCCCATCTCTTCCGTTTCCAGTAGCCTTTGCCTTCTGGCTGTGTCGGGTCTTGTTTCTAAGGCATATGTCATTATTGGTCTTCTTCTTCTTCATGTGCCATCTCCTTTAAGAAGGTTGGCAACCATCATGGCAACCAATTCGCACTTTCGATACCGCTGCTCTAAAGAGATCAGCAGAAATGCATTTAAACCAAGCTCTCAAATTGTTTAACCAGGAGATGCGTCTTCTTCCGCGACTCCTCCTACCCTATATTCTTCCTTGCATTATTAATTGCAACAAGCTATAACGCTCGCTCCTCATAACATGTCCCAGATATTGCAGTTTTCTGACTTTAATTGTATTTAAAACCTCTTTATCTTTTCCCATTCTTCTCAACACCTCAACATTCGTGACTCCATCCACCCAACTTATTCTTAATATGCTTCTGTATGCCCATAACTCAAAGGCTTCTAATCTGTCCGAAACATCTTTCTTTAACGTCCAATCCTCCAACCCATAAAACAATACGGGGAACACGTAGCATCTCAGAAGAAATTATCTTTAAAGAAATTGAAATGTCCCTGCTACAGAGTACTTTTTTCAGTTTGTTGAAAGAATTTCTTGCCTGTTCTATTCTTGCCTTAATCTCTTCTGTGTATTCATTATTTTCTTTAATTATTATACCCAGATATTTATATTTTTCAACTTTTTTAATTTGTTCTCCATGTATTGTTATGTTTTCTTGGCGCTGTTGGGCTTTTGTAATTACCATAAATTGTGTCTTTCTTGTGTTTAGGGACAGTCCGTTTTCTTCACTGACTTCTACCACTCTGTCAACCATTTGTTGTAAATCCTCAAGACATTCCGCTAATAAAATAGTGTCGTCGGCAAACCGTATATTATTAATTGGTCGGCCATTTACTTTTATTCCCATAGCTTTATTCCTTCTAGTGCTTCCTGGATTATTTCCTCTGAATACAAATTGAACAAAGTAGGAGACAGGACACAGCCCTGCCTGACGCCCCTCTCAATCTGTATTTCATTTAAAAGGACGTTGTTCTTTTTTACCATATTGTTTTCTTTTCAAGTAATTCGATAAGACGATTATGTCTGACCTTATCGAAGGCTTTGTTGTAATCCAAGAAACAAGAAAGTACATTCACATCGAACAGGGCTTCCCTCGTTCCCAATGCAATTCTTAATCCAAACTGTGTCCTGCTCACTTATGTCCTGCTCAAGTTTGTTGTGTATTCTCCGGTGTATGATTTTTAAAAATATTTTGAGCAATCATTAAACTTATTATCCGGTGGTCTTGGCATTCTTTTGCATTTGGTTTTTTTGGTAGTGTTATGAATGTTGACATCAGCCAATCTCTGGGAATGATTCTTGTACTGTATATTGTATTGAATAAGTCGGCCAATATTCCCATTTGCTGTTCTTCTATTAACCGTATTTTGTCTACAGGTATTTCGTCAGGACCTGTTGCCTTGTTGTCCTTTGTTCGCTTTATCGCCTCTAATACCTCATCTTCTGTTATGCCTGGGCCGTTGTCGAACTTTTCCTGCTCTAGTACTATCTTAGTCCCTTCGTCTATAAATAGCTCTTGAATATATTCCTGCCATCTTTTAAGGCTTTCACCGACGTCTATAATTATTTTGAGTTTTTATCCAGCATTATGTTTGATTTTTTCTTATTAGTGCCTGGTATTTCCCTAATTGTTTTATGAAGGTTTAAGTTATCATGTTTCTCTATCAACTGTATAATCTCTTCAAATCTGTCACTATGCCATCTTTCCTTTGCGTCTCTGATCTTTCTCCTTATTTCTGTGTGTATAATATTATACATATTTTTGTCTTAGGTTTCATAAGATCTCCTTGCTTCCATGAGATCCAGAAGTCATCCATTCATTTTTGTTCTTGATCAGCTTAGGTGTTAGTGTCGTCTCACATGTGCGTATAAGAGCATCTTTTAACATATGCCATTTCCTGTTCGCATCTTCAGTAGAAATAATTTCTATTTTGGTGAGCTCTTCTTTAATATTTAGTGTGACTTGCTCTTTTGTTGATGGATATCTCAAACGGGATACTTGTATCCTCACTACTCTAGTCTAAGCCACAAGCTTTTTTAGATTAATTCTAAACCTTCCTACAACTGGGTTGTGACCTGATCTCACAACTATTACTAATTATCTAATCACTATTATTGGTCTTACACTGGCTTTATAAATTCTTGACTTTATCTCAATGTGAATGTGTCTGTTTCGTCATATAATATTATTGAGGCATCCTGCCAGTCTATTTGCTTTTTATACTTGATCTCTCACTTCTTTGTCCAGGTCTCCATAGCTAGACAGTAAATTCCCAGGTATTTTATTTCCATTTCTTGTTCAATACTGATGCAATCAATTTTTATTTTACATCTGGTTGGTTCTTTGCTGACTACTGTTGTTTTAGTTTTCTGAGATGAGATTGTCATATTAATTTCTTTTGCTCTTATGTTAAACCTGTGGACCAGTCTTTGCACATTATCTTTATCTTGGGCTATCAATATTGCATCGTCTACGTATTTTTATTTCTTTGTTTCCAAGTTTCTAAGTGTCAAGTTGTATGGTCTTCTCCACACTCCATTGTCATGGTTCAGGTCTCCGACCCATATGTTAGTACTGGGCGTATTATTGTTTTGAACAGTTTTATATTTGTATTTCTCGATATAATTGTGGATTTAAGAAGGGGATTGAGCCCAAAATAGCGTCTGTTGGCCGTGAAAATTCTGCGGTTAAGGAGCAGTGTTAAGGAGCGCTCCCAGGTATACAAATTCGTTCAATGCTTAGATGACGTCGTTTTCTATAACAAATAGTAGGATTTATGGTTGCGTGCTTATTTTCATATACTTCGTTTTGTTGGTGTTTATTGTTAAATCCATTTTTGTAGCTGATTATTTTAATGATGCATATGCTTCTCGTACAGCGTTTTCCGTTCTACCAACAATATTTATTCGCAAAGTCATGTTTCACGATTACTGTTAATATAGTTTTGTATTTTAACTATTAAAGGCATCAATTGGAAAAATAAACAAATACAAGCATACCCTGACCTAGGTTCAGCAAGATAGCAGAGCAAAAAAGTCAGCACTACTTTAAGAAATTGGCCTTTCGGACATATCATGAAAGGAAAACAAAACCTGATCAACGAACCTTTAGTTGCAAGAAAAAAGTTGAAAGCTGGAATATTGGATAGTGCATAAATAAAACAGCTTATTAAAGAATCTCCACAGTACCAATGTACGAAGTTAAATTAAGTTGCTGTGGGGCTATGTAATCGATTTACCCTTTCGTATACCCGCCTATGATGCATACTTTTATTAAACCTTGAAAGTGACATTCGGATGACATATGGATGACATATGTTTAAGGGCAACTTAACCTATATTTCCATAAGGAAAACAATATATTTTTGTATCTTTTAATACAAAACAAATTCAGTGCAATATTATTTTTGATTCTTCATAAAATTTACAATTTTCCATTTGTTTTAAAATGGATAACGTATCACAACAATTAGACGAAATCGAAGCTCTTAAATCCATATTTGGAGAGGAATGGCAAGTAGATTCTGATACTGCAACATACAGCATTGATATTAGTAAAGAAGTAAAATTGTTTATTACTTTAGTACCTGAGTATCCATCGAGTTCATTGCCACGATATGAATTGCTGGCGCCCAATCTTCATTTTTCCCAAAAGAAAAATATAGAACAAAGATTTCAAAATTTATATGAGTAAGTGTTTAGAAGGAACTAAAGTTAACAATTTTAATGAACAAACTAACTTCAACAATTATTGGTTAAATGAATTACTATAAGCTTATTACATTATTTTACTACAATTTAGATTATTAACAAAAGTTAGATTATACTGCCAGTACAGTACAGTACAGTTAGATTATACAGAGTATCTGAGGCCTATTTATATCAAGGGAGACAGTCAATTTAGAAAAGTCCCACTTCATTGACCTTCTTGGTGAAGTACCTTTCGAACTGAATCATACTGTTCCCTACAATCATTTCTGACAAAGATGGTTGATGGTTTCTTGTGCTCGAGATTCATTGGTCTTTCATAATGTTTCAGGTAGTTTTGGTTGCAATTATCTAATCCTGAATGACAAGCAGGAAACCCACTCTTTCAGGAAACATCTTTCCCGATTTCAACCATTAGTTCTGTGTATGGTTGTATGGGTATAACTTACGCAGAGGTTTATCCATCTAGATGCGAATTTTTGTTCCCTCAGAGAGTAAAGTAGATGTTTCAACTTGCTTCTGAAAATAATTTCTATGCTACCATGGTACTTAAAGATATATTTCTGCCATGGCAATGTACTTCTTTCTATTGCAATGTTAGGATGATGTTTATGTGCCTTTTTAAGCAGTTATTGTTATTAAAATTATTATATATCAGTTATTTGTCATCATTGTTATCATTTATTTGTAGAACAGAAGGTGGTGGTCCCCTTATTTACCAAATGATAATGATAGTTGAGGATGTAGTCAAGAAATCTCAATCAAATACAGAACGCAAACCTGTAGAAGAAGAACAAATAAACGAAGTAAAGGGAAGTAGTTCAAAATGTAGTAAAAATTTAAATGTAGTCCATGGTTCAACAATTTTAGATAGGAAGAGTGTATTTCAAGGTCATGTTTGTGAAGTAAAGAGTAAAGAAGAAGTAAAGTATGTGTCATTTAAAGTTTTATGATTTTTAATAATTTTTACTCATTTTAGTGCATTTATGGAGTTGTTGCTTGAAAACAAGAAGATTGCTAATGCAACACATAATATCTCTGCATATAGGATTTTATTGCCTAATAATGTTGTGCTACAGGTATTTAGTTTTCTTCATATTTAATACTGATTTAACTCTTAGTTGCATCACAAAAAATCACATACACAGGTGCATTGGTACAAATGACACATGAAATTAGGTTGAAATTAGTCATATTATGATGATTATTATTAGTATTAGTACACATTGTAAATATTACACATTGCATTTTGTTGTCAGTGTTAATAAAAAATCTGTATTTTAGGATTGCGATGATGATGGAGAAAATAAAGCATCATCTAGAGTTTTAGAATTACTACAAACATTAAAACTTAATAATGTTATGGTTGTAATTTCAAGATGGTAAGTAAGTGTATTTTATTTTTAATGTATTCATAAACATTTAACAAAAAGAGTTTGTACAAAAATACCCATTTTGGATTCGCAGAAAGTAGCTAAGGCAGCTTAATTTGTTTGATAGACCTCTAGAGTCACTTTGTTGTATTAATTGTCAAAACAAACATTAATGAAATGAGGCGATAAAAACTTTTGAATAAGATTCATAAATTTTTGGAATATAACTGTTAATTAGAAAGATTAAAGACTTTTGGGAATATTTGAGCATAAAATACTCCGCAAAATATTTGGAGCTGTAAACGACCAAGGGCAGTGGCGCAGAAGATATAATTTTGAATTGTATCAGTTCTTTGATGAGCCAGATATCATAACATTCATTAAAACACAGCGACTTAGATGGGCTGGACACATAATACGAATGCCAGAAAATACGATTGCTAAAAAGCTAACCACAGGAACACCTGTACGGAGTGGAAACTGACTTACGAATATTAAAAATCAGAAGATGGCAACATGTTGCCAAAAACCAAATAGAATGGCGACGAATCTTAGAGCAGGCCAAGATCCACAGAGGATTGTCGAGCTAAAGATGATGATAACTGTTAATTGAAAGCAAAAAACTAGGTAAACATCATTTTAAAACAGCTTTACATTGTTTATGGAATAGTACCATCTGATTTATCTTCCAACAAATATTGTTTTCGTTGTTCTACTATTTTCGTGCATTTTTGATCAACCCATTTATTTCTTGTTTTGTGTCAGGATATAAGTACCCAATGTATTTTTGGCTGCAGATTTTAGAGTCACCTTGCAGTCTTTCCACATGTTTATACAGCCTTCACTGTGAGCGACCAGAGGTTACTATGTCTGCCACTGCATCAACTTTAATAATGTCAGCTATAGCTGCAGGTGAAGCTTCATGAAAAAGCAATTTTAGACAACTGCCTATAAACCTTGTAAACAATGTTCCTTTATAAAAGTAAATTTTTCAAGGTTTCTAATTCAGGAATCTAATCTAATGACTTATACTGATAGTATTCTCTTTTAGGTATGGTGGTATTCAGCTGGGTCCAGATAGATTTAGGCATATTAACAATGCTGCTCGACAAGCACTAGTGGAAGCAGGGTTTGTAAAGTCATAGCATAAATAATAAATTATTCGTACAAATGTTGTTTTTGTCACCCAGCTTTTCCTAAAATGTATTGAATTAAACAAGAAGTAAATTAGTCCCAGCTTTGCCTACTATTAAAATACTTTAAGAAGTTTATAAATAAATGTTTAGTATTGCCGTTCTTTCTATTACTATGAAAAAACAAAAATAAATCCCCATATTTCACATAAATAATAAGAAAATGTATAGCAAAAAGTAGTTTTTAAAAATTTATTTGGTTTGGGTCAAACTTAAGTCAGGTCTTATAAGGTCTAGTTTATTGGATGAAATAAATAATGGCCCCATTAACAAAAATAGACTTATAGAAAAGAAGAGTATAGAGATGTTAGAAGAGAGGAACAACGCATCCATTAACGTAAGAAGAGGGAATACGAACAGAACACTCAGTGAGATACAAAGTTTATTCGATAAAAAAGGAAACGAGGAAATACTACAAAGCCTTAAATACTAGCCGTCGAGAATTTAAACCACGGTCAACAATTTGTAAAGACACTAACGGTGAAATTCTACACGATAAAAACTCAGTTCTTAACAGACGGGCACAGCATTTCTGCGAACATCTAAATATAAACGATATTGAAGGAGAGTACAACATAGAAAATTAACAAAATTACGTCAACTACACAGTGAAGACCCAACAAGAGAAGAAGTGTCAAATGCGATCCTAAAACTCAAAGACAATAAAGCCCCAGGAATCGATGAAATCTGTTCGGAAATTTATAAAAAAGGTGACTTTTAGACATTTTACAACAAATGATATTGTTGGTCAATAGCAATGCGGATTTACTGCTGGAAAGTCAACTACACATCAAATTCAAAGCACATAGGCAGATTCTAGAAAAGTCACTAGAATGTAACATAGATATACACCATCTCTTTACTGACTTCAAAGCAGCCCATGACAGTGTGAAAAGAACTGCATTATATAATGCAATGATAGACTTCGGGATCCCTCCTAAGTTAGCTAAGTTGACCCAACTAACAATGCAAAATGTAAGCTAATGCGTTAGAATTGAAGGAGAAAACTCTACGTTATTTGACATTAATAATGGTCTAAGACAGGTGGACGCGTTGGCGTGTCTGCTCTTTAATATTGCCTTGTTAAAGGCAATCAGACAATTAAATACAGTAATCTCTCTTTATAACAATTCCCTATATAACGATAATTCCTCTATAACGATGAAAATAGTAAACGGTTGGTTCGTCATAAGGACAATGTATTAATTCTTTCTCTATACCGATATCGTTCTCTCTTTATAGCGATGACTTTTTAGCGTTCAATAGTCGATGGCAAATGTGTTATTGTGTTTAAACTTTAGACTACCTATTGTTCAACGATTGTTTTGTTTTGCGCTTAAGGAATGCGGCCACCCATTCTACTCGATTCTTATCAGAGGGTTATCCCGAACAATGTTCGGGCGGCGTGCCTAACTGTTATCACACAGATTTTGTCATCTATTGACGACTTTTCATTTCCAATTTGAGTTGTGTGAACAGTCAACATGTTTTCGAAAAAAGAAGGACAGAAAATAGTGGTTTGAAGCGGAGATGGAGGGCGATAGCAGGAAGAAGTTGTGGCAACCTCAGCACGAAGATTTGGTTCGCGCTATGCTTCAGTGGTTCCAGCAGTAGCGTATGAAGCATATTCCACTTTCTGGGTCTGTGGTCAGGACAAAAGCTGAGTTTTTTGCAACTGAACTTGCGGAATTGAGAATTTGCTGAAGTGGAAGCTGCGGCACAAGATCAACTACGGGCAAATCAGCGGAAAGGCTCGCGATGTTAACAAAACCGTAACGGACGATTAGCTAGAAAACGTATGGCCTGGACTGAAGGCACGATAGGCGTCAGACGACATTTTCAATGCTGATGAGACTGGATTGTTTTTTAAAATGATACCAAAGAGAACTTTAAAATTTAAATCAGTAAAGTGCATTGGTGGAAAGCTCTCCAAGGAATGCATTACAGTTTTAGTGGCCGCTAACCTGACAGGTTCGGTAAAGCGAAAATTGTTAGTGCTAGGGAAGTCGAAAAACCCACGTTGCTTTAAGAACATAAAAAAAATCTACCGGTGCCTATTAAGCAAACAAGAGTGCATGGATGACTTCGAAAATTTTTGAAGAAGCGATAAAAAAAGTGGGATATAGAGCTTAAAGGGAAAAAATTCTTCTGCTTGTAGACAATTGTCCTGCTCATCCTGTACTATGTGACCTTCAAAACATTGAACTTGAAATTGGTTGAGAACAATGGCGATCTTAAACTAAACATTCCTGACTCCAAAAGAAGAAAACAGTAACCCGGAAGTGGAAGCAGAGCCAGAACCAGCTCCGACCTCTCAGCAGGCATTGGATGCAGCAAAAGTACTGCATCGATTCTTCATCCACCAGAAAGACGACGATATGATCTATGTGGAAGATTGTATGCGTCTTCAGGACAAGGTCAGGTGAGTTCGATGGAAAGGGAAAAGGAAACGGACCAAGATGACATACTTGTTGGTAGTTAGGCTAAATATATTTTACAGTAGCATATCATTTTGTTATTGTACAATACATATGTTTTAACTGTACAGTCATATTTTTATACTGTATTGCTTATATTATTCTTTAATTAATATATGTGGCGTACATTACAGTGTTAATTCATTTATATTCATTTCGATAATTTTTTTAAATTAAAATAAGTTATTCAGTACAGTATTATTAATATTACAGTACCGAATTTTGTCTCTTTCTCTCTCTCTCTCTCTCTCTCTCTCTCTCTCTCTCTCTCTCTCTCTCTCTCTCTGTATAACGATCTCTCCTTATAACGATGAAAATTCCCGGTCTCTTGCATATCGGTATAGAGAGAGAGGACTGTAGAATGAATGGAAATATTTTTAATAGATAGACGCAAATTATGGCATTCGCTGACGATATAGTTATAGTAGACAGAAGTATGAGGGACATGGTGCAGTGTTTTACAAGGCTTGCGGACGCAGAAAGTGAATTAGGACTTGTGGTAAACGAGGAAAAAACCAAATATATGTTGGTTTCTAAAAACCCTCGAAATATCCAACAGAGAATTCAAATTAACAACCATACCTTTAAGCAAGTCAAAGAATTTACATATCTTGGATCGCTAGTGAACGTAACAAAGACGACAAGCGACGAAATAACGCATCGCAATAGCAAACAGAACTGTTCACGGCCTCCAGAAACATTTAAAAAATAAAAATATAAAACGTGCAGTAAAGCTTTATATATACAAGACCAGTTTTCATATATGGGGCTGAAACGTGGACCTTATCTCAAAATGATAAAAGACTTCTTGGTATTTTTGAAAGAAAGATTTTTGGAGCCGTATATGAAAATGGGCTATGGCGTCGAACATACAACTTTGACCTATATCAGTTATACACCGATCCAGATATTTTGAAATTCATTAAAGTGCAGAGACTTAGATGGGCTGGACACATTACTAGGATGTCAGATCACGAATACACGAAGATATTAACATTTTCAGAACCAGAGGGTACAAGAAGTAGATGACGAGCACGAAGGAGATGGATTGATGATGTGAAAGAAGATCTACAGATTATATGCCAGATCCACAACGGATTGTCGAGCCACTTATGATGATTAACAAAAATACAAAGAATCAAAGTGTTTTGGTGGGGGAGTGAAGAGTTTCCCCAGTGAACTTCAATCTCTGTATCTAGTAACTTTATTTTATTGCTGTGTGATAGCAATTCCAAAATTTTCTATGGCCATGATCATTGGCGTGTATTTTCTGACAGTCCAACCAACAATAATGAACTGATTCACTCATTGCTCCTAGAAGTAGTTTTCAAACTGTGTAATAAACTAATTTTTTGGGTAAAACCAAAGTCGCCAAACATGGATTTCAATTTCTGCATATTTGTATTGATTCCTTTATGTGAACATAAAGCGATGCTTCTATTGTTAAAACTAATTTTGCTTTGGTGTCATGTTCTGCTACTATTTCCACAATGCAATTTGATGATCCTTCTAACACTAGGAAGTTTTCAATTGCAAACACCCAATCACTATAATTTGCGCTAAGATCTGGCTAAGACTATAAAAGCGGCGATTGCGCCGGCGCCTCTACGCTAGAAACAAAGTGTTTATTGTTCTACTGCTGTATTCTGATTGTACATTTCTTCTTTGGACTAAACTCTTTTACGCAGTAACGATCGTGCGTTATTTTGACCCCACCATCCTGACATGTAACATTATTAATAAAGAAGAATGGAACGTTGGCTTAAAGGCGTTAAACGTGTTGCAACAACATCTTCTAATGAAGCCGAATGTTCAAAAGTAGTTCGCACGGAGTATACAGCAATTACCAATCCAGACGATTATGCAACGACGTCAAGTTCTACGGTTTCAAAGGCGAAAAAAAGGAAGTATGATGAATCATATATAAGTTTCGGATTTGTTGATTCCAAAGGCTCACCTCTCTGCATGTAATGTAGTAAACTGCTTCCTAATAGTTCCATGGCACCTGCCAAGTTGCGCCGACATTTAGAAACTGTACACCCTGAGTCTAAAGACAAGAATAAAGAATTTTTTGTACGTAAAAAAGAACAGTTATTGGAAAGTCAGAAAACTATGATGCATGTAACCCAAACTATCAATGAAAAGGCCACAGACGCATCATATTTAGTTAGCTATCGCATTGCAAAAGCAGGTGAAGCGCACACTATCGCTGAGAATTTAATAAAACCATGTGTGTTAGACATACCAAAATGTATGCTCGATGAAAAATCTGCAAAGCATCTTTCTACTGTGCCGCTATCAAACGATACTGTTTCACGGCGAATTCATGATCTGGCAAGCTACGTCAAACAAGAACTAGTTACACGTCTACAAGAAACACGTTTCGTCTTGCAAATAGATGAGTCTACTGATGTCGCTGGTCTGGCTATCTTGCTGGTTATCGTGAGATATCCATATGAAAGTTCTTTGGAAGAAGATATGCTTAT